AAATATATGTGTGCTGTTTTCTGCAGCAGCAGCTGCTGCTGCTGCTGCAGCTGCTTCCCCTGTTGCTGCTGTTGCTGCTGTAGGTGTAAAGACAACGCGTCCTGTGCGTTAGCAAGTGCTGCTGGAACCGCAGCAGCAGAAGCAGCAGCAACAGCAGCAGCAGCAGCAGCAGCAGCAGCAAGTTCCTCTACGAGTGCTGCTGTTGCTGCTGCTGTTGCTGCTGCTGCAGCTGTAGCTGCGGCACCAAAATGGTTTGTGTATAAGCTGTTGCATGCGCTGTCTCTGTTGTTGCTGCTGTTGCTGCTGCTTCTGGTAGTTCTGTTGCTGTTGCTGTTGCTGCTGCTGTTGTTGCTGCTGCTGCTGAAACTAGAGCAGCAGATCTCCTTAACCTTTTTACACCGTGAGCCGCGGGTGCTGCAGCAACAGCACCAGGAGGAGTAGAGGCGGGAGCGACAGCAGCAGCAGCAGCCGCTGCTGCTGCTGCTGCTGCTGCTGCTGTTGCTGCTGCTCGAGCTGCTGCTGCACCAGATCTTAATTCTGTTGTTAATGTAAAAAACTTATTAGATGGATAGCAGCAGCGTGCCCCTTGACTCCAAAGGAAACGACACTGCTGCTGTTTCTGCTGCTGCTGCTGCTGCTGCTGCTGCTGCTGCTGCTAGTGCTAGTGCCGCTCTGCTGCTGCTTCATGCTGCTGCGGTCCTTTTACTAGAGGCAGCAAATTGTGTTGCTAATTAATACACAATAAAAAGCAAGAAGCAGCAAGATATGGGGCTGCAGCAGCAGCAACATTAGCAGCATCTGCTGCTGCTGCTGCTGTTGCTGCTGCTGCTGCTGCTGCTGTTGTTTATGTGGGTCTGCTGCTATGCAGTACATGCAGCAGCAAGGAACCCCACGCTGCAGCAGCAGCAGCAGCAGAAGACACAACTCCTTTTTGCTGTCAATGAGTCAAGGATATTTAATACAAGACATTAATAAGAATTTGCTGCTGCTGCTGACGCGCACTGCAGCAGTGTTGCTGCTGCAGCTAGTTGCTGCTGCACCAGCAAGAGTAAGAGCAGCAGCAGCAGCAAATGCAGCAGCAGCAGCAATTATAGCAGCAGCAGCACTTTTTAATGAAACACATTAACCTTATTTAACCCCCTTATACTACAACAGCTACAGCGACGGGAGCAGCAGCAGCTAGAGGTACTGCAGCAGCAGCAGCTAACAGCAGCAGCAGCAGCTAACAGCAGCAGCAGCAGCAGCAGCAGCACTTACACCAACAGCAGCAGCAACAGCAGCAGAAACTCCTTGTATAGAGGTCGCCAATAGCTGTAAGGAGGAAACACTCAGCATATCTGCCATCAGCAGCAAGTGCAGCAGCAGCAGCAACTGCAAAGTCAGCAGCAGCGATAGCAGCAACAGCAGCAACGGCAGAAACAGCAGCAGCAGCAGCAGCAGCAGCAATTGATCTGCTGCCTCTGCCTTTTGTCAGCCTTGACTCATCTATTTTTTTTAGAGCAGCAAAACTGCATGTGGGGTTGCTGCAGCACTTCGATACACAGTAAGCAGCAGCAGCAGCAGCAGCAGCAGCAGCAGCAGCAACAGCAACAGCAACAGCAGCAACAGCAACAGAAGCAACACCTGAAAGGTCCAAACCTTCAGCAGCTGAAGTAGTAGAGCTCTGGCCGATAGTCAGCAGCAGCAGCAGCAGCAGCACCACAACCACCACCTGCAGGATCAGCAGCAGCAGCAGCAGCAACAGCAGCAGCAGTAACAAGAGCAGCAGCAGCAGCAGCAGCAGCAGCAGCAGGATGGGTGGGAGTTGCTGTAAGAATACTTTTGGTGTTGTGAAGGAACCAAAAGAAACAAAAAGATTTGCTGATGGAGATAAACCCTGGCCAGGAGAATATTTGTAGGGTTTAGGGTTTAGGGTTTAGGGTTTAGGGTTTAGGGTTTAGGGTTTAGGGTTTAGGGTTTTTTTTGCTGAAATCACAGTTTTCTTGTGATTCCTGTATTGAGTTTATTTATATTCATTGCTGCTGTTGTTGTACTTGCTGCTGCTGCTGCTGTTGCTGTTGCTGCTGCTGCTGTTGCTATGTTTGTTTGCTGCTGCTGCTGCTGTGTGTGTTGGGGTGTACAGTAGTCGTGCTGCAGCACCTGCTGCTGCAACACAGCAGCAATCGGAGATGTTATTATTGCAGCAGCAGCATCAGCAGCAGCAGCAGCAGCCTGCTGCAGTACTGCAGCAAGGAGGTAGCTCATTTGCTGCTGCTGCTTCCTGCTGCAGCACAATTAAGGCAAAAAACAGCAGCTTATGTCCTAACGTTTCTTCCTCAGACATTAAAAGTTGCCGCAGCTCCGCCTCGGCTATGCATGCAGTAGATGACCAGCAGCAGCAGTAGCAGCAGCAGCAGCAGCAGCAGTAGCAGCAGCAGCTGCTGCTGCTGCTGCTACTGCTGCTCAAAACTAGCAGCAGTAGCAGTAGCAGCAGTTGCTGCTGCAGCAGCAGCAGCAGCAGCAGCAGAGGGAAATGTATGGGCTCCCTTGATGCTAAAGGCAACAGATGTAGCCGCATTCCCCACAAGCTGCTGCTGCTGCTGCTGCTGCTGCGTCGCAGCGAAGGGAGCAAATGTGGCTTGCTAAACAAAGCAGCAGCAGAAGCAGCAACAAGAACAGCAACAGCAGCAGCAACAGCAGCAACGCAGCAAAGTATAGTGGCACTGCTTATGCGATTTGTTCCTCTTTTTGTTTTAATTAAATTTTCTTGCTGCTGCATTCCGAGGGTTTAGGGTTTAGGGTTTAGGGTTTAGGGTTTGTTTTTTTCTTTTAGGGTTTAGGGTTTATTAAAGCTGATAGTGCGACAGCTAGTCATATGAAACCCTAAACCCTCACAAACCCTAAACCCTAATAAACCCTAAACCCTAATAAACCCTAAACCCTCGTAAACCCTAATGATTCCTCTTGCCGTTAATCGGCGTTGGCCGTACACCGCAAACCCTCGGGGGTCCTAAAACCCTAAACCCTAGATATTTATAGTCCTTAAAACCCTAAACCCTCAACTACTAAACCCTAAACCCTAATTAGCTGAATCTAGGAAACCCTCAGGCGAGCTAACGCATAACTGCACGGGAAGGAGGTGACTCGAGCTAGTAAAATTCAGGGTTTAGGGTTTAGGGTTTAGGGTTTAGAGGTCATAATAGGTAATTAAGAAGAAATAATTATAAATAATTATTTAATTAAGTTATTTTTATTTATTTATTTATTTTTATTTTTATTTTTTTATTTCTTTCTCTATTGATGCCTCTGGTTGCGGTGACTCATGACGAGACGAGCACAAACCCTAAACCCTAAACCCCAAACCCTAAACCCTAAACCCTAAACCCTGAAAATGGTGAATACTGTAGAAATAGACTTTTTTGTTTATAGAAGACAAAAGAAGGAAGAGAAAATAAGAACAAAAGGGAGGGAGACGCGGAGGTGTCCGTTGGCTTGTGGCTCACCCGGTCCCAAACCCTAAACCCTAAACCCTAAACCCTAAACCCTAGACCTTGAGCTCAAGGAACATAATAATATAAGAAGGTAATAAAATTAGGGTTTTGTTTATATTGTCTCTGTTGTATATTTGTATAAACATTTAGTATAAGAAGGGAGATGATAGGTTATAGCTCTTTCTGTCTTACGTTTGTTGCTGCTGCTGCTGCAGCAGCAACAGCAGCAGCAGCTGCAGCAGCTGCAGCAGCAGCTGCTGCTGTACATCATCGATCTATCTGTCTGTCTCTCGCTCTGTCTCTCTCTCTCTTGCTGCTGCTGTCTTTTCTTAATACGTTGGGTGTATTTGCTGCTGCAGCACAGCAGCACAACAACCAAGTTTAGTTCATGTACCTCTTCCTCCCTCCGTTCCTTCTTTCCTTCCTTCCTTCCTTTTTTTTCTAGGGTTTAGGGTTTAGGGTTTAGGGTTTAGGATGGCGCCAATTCGTTCTGCCTTATGCGTTGCGTCTTTGGGGGTTTGTGGGGTCCTGAGCTCAAGTTTTGCTGCTGCTGCATCTGCTGCTGCTGCATCTGCTGCTGCTGCTGATGCAATTGTTCCATCAATAGAGCCATCAATAGGATCAGGAGGAGGAGGAGGAGCAGCAGCAGACAGTACAGCAGCAGCAGCAGCAGCAGCAACAGCACCATTATTTGATTTATCCCCTGAGGGTATAAAAAGATTTGTTGAGGGTTTACTCGAGGGTTTAGGGTTTGATTCGCGGTTTGTGCTGCTGCTGCAGGACCTGCTGCGTATATTTGAGGGTTTGCTGCTGCCACCAGAAGCAGCAGCAGCAGCAGCAAATGTTGCTGATTCCCTTAAGGATGTGCTGCAGCAGCAGCGTACATTACGTAATAAATTATTATCCCTGCAGCAGATAGCAGCAGGAGATAAATTAGCTGCAGGAGAGCTGCTGCTGCTGCAGCAAATTGCTGCTAGATTATGGCAAACTTATGCTGCACTAGAGGAGGAAGCTGTGCTGCTGCTGCAGCAGCTCTCGTTGCTGTTTAGGAATTTATTTCCTGCTGCTGCTGATGCTGCTGCTGCACCTTTCCCTACACTTAAGGAACTGCAGCAGCAGCAGCAGCAAACACTCAAACAGCTCATGCGTCTATTCCCTGATATACTTAAACAATAATTTGCTGCTGTGCAGCAGCAGCAAATCCTGCTGCAGCTAATCCTGCTGCAGCTAATCCTGCTGCAGCAGCTGCTGCAGCAGATACCATCACAGCAGCAAAATCACCTGTAGAATTTGCTGCAGCAGCTGCAGCAGCAAATACTGCTGCAGCTGCGGCGGCACACAGATGAGAAGGGCGCATCAGCATATGATTGCCCTTTGCTGCTGCAGCAGCAGCTGCTGCAGCAGCAGCAGCAACAGCAGCAGCAGCAACTGCAGCAGCACGAAAGATGTTTTAAAGGAATTTTAAGAATTTTGTTTGTGTTTAATACTCATCGTAAACCCTAAACCCTAGTAAACCCTAAACCCTAATAGACCCTAAACCCTAATAGACCCTAAACCCTAGTAAACCCTAAACCCTAGTAAACCCTAGCTGTACACACACCTGTAGGTAAATAGATACATTTGCTGCTGCTGCATAACTTGCTGCTGCGGTCGAGTTCCTTGCTGCTGCTGCTGCTGCTGCCGCTGCTGCAGTGACCCAGCACTGCCGTCGAATGCTAAACCCTAAACCCTAAACCCTAGACAGGAGGCACTAAACCCTAAATTTTAGATACAAAGCCCTTAATGGCAGAAAGAGCTAGCGAGAGCAGCAAGGGCAACAACAGTACCAGCAGCAAGAGCAGCAACACCAGCAGCAGCAGCAGCAGCAGGGCCCCACACCGCAGACCTTTGCTGCAGTGGCGTTCTTTTCTTGTTATTAATTATCTATGAGTCTAAAAAATAAATTATTAAAGACACAGACGCCGTCTCGTGCTGCTGCTGCTGCTGCTGTTGCTGCTGCTGCTGCCACTGCTGCTGCCGACAGCGTCGTCTTGGAACAGCACTGCCGATCCGGCTGCTGCTGCTGCTGCTGCATGCAGCAGCAGCAGCAACAACAACAACATTGAAATAACAGAGTTTGCTGTTTTTTGCTAACTGATGCAGGGTGTACTAAATACACTACAGTACAGCAGCAGCAGCAGCAGCAGAAGCTGAGCAGCTCTACCTGTCACAGAGCAGCAGCTGCAGCAGCTGCAGCAGCAGAGCTGACGGCGATGCAGCCAATAGACTTTGCTGCTCTTCTTGCGGAAGCTCGCGCTGCTCGCAGGAAACAGAAGCAGCAGCAGCAAGAGCAGCAACAGCAGCAACAGCAGCAGCCACAGCAGCAACAGCAGCAACAGCAGCAGGAGCAACAATGTGTAGACGGAACTACCCCAGAGAGCGGCAGCAATGGCAGCAACAGCAGCAGCAGTAACAACAGCCGCAATAACAGCAGCAGCAATAAGAGCTGCAGCAGCCGCCAGATCAGCAGCAACAAGAGCAGCAGCAGCAGCAACAGCAGCAGCGGCAGTGCCAGTGCTGCGCTGCAGTGGTCTGGCTGCTGCACATCTTTTGTCTTCAATTTGCTGCAGACACAGAAGCCTCTGCAGCAGCACCAATTGCTGCAGCAGCTACGGCAGCAGCAACAGCAGCAGCAGCAGCAGCAGCAGCCACAGCTGCTGCTGCTGGATTTCCGCAGCGCAGATGCCTTTAACAAATGCCACATAGCCCAGGCAACGCATGCAGAGGAGCTGCTGCAGCAACTGCTTGTGCAGCAGCAGCAGCAACAGCAGCAGCAGCAGCAGCAGCGGATGCGCATTATCGCGTATGTGGAGGATGAAGAGGCAACGCGGCGCTTTTTTGCATCTCCTGAGCAGCAGCAGCAGCAGCAGCAGCAGCCAATAGGCAGCAGCAGCAGCGACAGCAGCAGCACCACCACCAATAACAATATCAGCATGAGCAGCAGCAGCATGCATAAGCTGCTGCAGCTGCTGCTGCAGCAGCAGCAGCAGCAGCTAGAGCTGCTGTATATATCTGTGGGGTTTTGTGGCTTTTTCTCTGATTATAACTTCTTATGTCTTAGTACTGCAGCAGAAGCAGCAGCAGCGCAGCAGCTGCATGCAGCAGCAGCAGCAGCACTCATGAGTTACCCTCAAGAGGTATTCAGAGTCCCGTCAGCAGCACCAACAGCAGCAGCAGCACCAACAGCAGCAGCAGCAGCAGCAGCAGTGCCGTTTACGGGGCTGTTTGTGGGGAAACCGCTGCATGCAACTAGCAGCAACGTGCTGCTGCGGTTGCAGATAAAGCATTTGCTAGACCTTTCCGCTGCTGGGCTCAGCAGCAGCAGCAACAGCAGCAGCAGCAGCGGGAGAGGCAGTATGACTTGCTGCTCATGCTGCTGCTGCTACTGCTGCACTTGCTGCAGCAAAGCGTCTCCTCAAGCGCCATCTGTATGGCGCCCAGCAGCAGCAACAGCTGCTGCTGCTGCGAACTCTCCTGCTGCTGCTGCTGCGCTGCTGCAGTACTCTGTAGATGTTAAGGAAGTGCAGCAGCAGGTAATGCAGCGGCTAGGTCTTACTGGCTGCTGCTGCAGCAGCAGCAGCAAAGGCAGCAGCGGCAGAAGCAGCAGCAGCAGCTGTTGCGCAGGGTCTGTGCTGATTGTAGCCGACGACGACGCATGCAGCCGCAGCGCAGCAACCCTTGTCCTTGCTGCTGCCCTCAGCAGCAGCAGCAGCAACAGCAGCAGCAGCAGCAGCAGCAGCAGGGACCCGATGGGGGCTCTAGCTCAAGTACTCCGCAGGTGGAAGGATGCGCAGCTGCTGCCGCAGCACATGCAGCAACTGAGGCTCTGCAGCAGCAGCAGCAGCAGCAGCAGCGGCAGCAGACCCAACCAAGCCCGGCGCAGCAGCAACAGGAGCAGCAACAGCCGACGCCGGCGCAGCAGCAGCAGCAGCAGCAGCAGGAGCAGCAACACACAAGAAGAGGATGGCTTGCTGCTGCAGCAAGCAATGGCAGAAACCCTTACAGTGTATACTGCACCAAAGACACCACGCCTCTCTGCTGCTGCTGCTGCAGCAGCAGCAGCAACAGCAAACACTGCTGCTGCTGCTGCTGCTGCTGCTGCTGCTGCTGCTGCTGCGTTTCAGACGGCTTTAGTCCGGCTGCAGCAGAGCGGAGGCTTAGTAGACACACATGTAGCGCAACAGCAGCAGCAACAGCAGCAGCAGCAGCAACAGCAGCAGCAACAGCAGCAAATGCAGCAGCAGGGGCTAGACGATGCTGTAGATGCTTTGTTGAGGGCTTTGTGGGGAGGAGGGGAAGCAGCAGCAGCAGCAGCAGCAACTCGCAGCTTTGCTGCTGCTGGTATTCAGCCTGCTGCAGCAGGAGGCAGTGTTCTCTGCTGCTGCTGCTGGTTGCTGGCAGACCTTATTGGACTACTCTGCATGCATGCGCAGGAGCAGCAACAGCAGCAGCAACAGCAGTACGAGGCATTCGGCGGCCTGCTGCTGCTGCTGCAGCGACTGGTGAAGGATGAGCAGGCAGCAGCAGCAGCAGCAGCAGCAGCAGACTGCTGGAGCCCAATTGGCGTCGCCCTCTTAAATGCCACCATCTTCTGGCAGCAACAGCAGCAACAGCAGCAACAGCAGCAGCAGCAGCAGCAGCAAGGCGAACAGCTGAGGGAGTTGCTGCTGCTGTTTCTAGGCATTGAGGGCGAAGCCCTACTTACTGCAGCGGAGGAAGCCACCACCAGTGACAGCAGCAGCAGCAGCAGCAGCGACAGTAGCAGCAGCAGCAGCGACAGCAGCAGCAGCAACAAGGGAGAGACTCTGTACGGCATTCCTTCTGAGGGTCTTCGCTGTGCTGCAGTTGCGCTGTACTGCTTCTTCCTGCAGCCTCTGCTGCTGGATGAGCAGCAGCAGCAGCAACAGCAGCAGCAGCCGCTGCTGCTGCAGCAGGGGAAGGTGCAGCACACCATTGACGAGCTACGTAAGTCTAAATGGGGTTGTGTTGTTCCCTCTCTTGCTGCTGCTGCTGCTGCAGCAACTGCAGCAGCTCCATCTGTCTCCCTCCTATCCAGCAGCAACAGCAGCAGCACCAACAGCAGCAACAACAGCAGCAGCAGCACAGTGCCAGACACGTTGCAGACCGTGCTGCGGCCATTTGTGCTCCTGCTGGATGAAGCCTAGCTGCAGCAGAAGCAGCAGCAGCTGCTGCAGCAGCAGCAGCAGACAGCATAGCAGCAATATGTTTTTGCAGTTGGGGTGTATGTGCACCTCCAGACTTAACCTAAACCCTAATCGGGAATTAAAACCCTAAACCCTAAACCCTAGACAAAACCCTAAACCCTAAACCCTAAACCCTAGTCGGTAGTCTGTATAGTTTCAAATAATAGGCAGCAGCAGCAGCAACTTGCTGCTGTTGCTGCGCTGCTTCTGCAGCAGCAGCAGCTGCTGCTGCTGAGGAGGTGTGCTGCTGTTGCTATTGCTGTTTCTATTATTCCTCCTGCTGCTTTTTCTGCTGCTTTTTTTGCTGCTGCTGCTGCTGCTGCTCCTGTGGTCCTGCAGCAGCAGCAGCAGCAGCAGCAGCAGCAGCAGCAGCAGCAGATTTATAAGGAAGAGCTAGATAGCGGAGATATCCGCTATTAAAAATTGCATACTTTCTTCTTTTGTCTCCATACAACTCCAACCTGCAGCAACACATACACACCCTGCTGCTGCTGCTGCTGCTGCTGCTGCTGCTGTTGCTGCTGCTGTTGCTGCTATTGCTGCTAGGGAGCAGCACCAGCAGCACAGCCATGAATTATCACCCAATAACCTGCTTGGTGTACTGTATCTATTAGCAGCAAAATACAGCAGCAGCACCACTAACAACGAACAACAGCAGCAGCAACAGCAGCAGCAACAGCAGCAGCAACAGCAGCAGCAGCAACAGCAGCAGCAGCAGCATACCATCTTTTTGCTGCTTGCTGCTGTAGGAAGAGGACAGGCTCAATCCTATTTCCTTCTTTCTTACTAAAACTCATAGAAGGGAGAGACACAGCAGCAGCAGGTAAGGAAGCAACTGTATATACACTAGCCCTTCTCCTGCTGCTGCTGCTGTTGCTGCTGTTGCTGCTGCTGTTCGTGCTGGTGCTGCTGCTCCTTCTGCTGCTTCTGTTGTTGTCCCTGTTGTTGCTGCTGCTGCTGCTGCCGTCGGATTCCTTCCCCCAATGATACCGTTGCTGCTGCCATTTGTGCTGCTGCTGCTGCTGTTGCTGCTGCTGTTGTTGCTGCTGCTGCTGCTGCTGCGGGTCTGTCTCTCCATCACTCTCATCATCGGTGTCAAAAAACTTGGACCGTGCTGCAGCAGCAGTTTTAGCTGCTGCTGCTGCTGCTGCTGCTGCACCACTACCACCACCTGCTGCTGCTGTTGCTGCTTGTGAACCTGTCACCTTTTCTGCTTCTGCTGCTGCTGCTGTTGTTGCTGCTGCTGCTGCATCTGTTGCTGCTGCTGCTGCTGCCGGAGTATCTGCA